AGTCTTCCCAGTTCATCGATGTGCTCATGAATGATAGAACTACGGTTCTTTTTAGGGTTGAATGGTATTCTCTTTTGTATGCATTCTGCATTTTCTTTACCCATCCATTCACTGTTAACCAGGTCTGATAGCTAAGCTGCTGTGTAAGTGAGAGAGTGCTGGTTTCTCTGAACAGGGATTTCCTTTCCCTTTGGTATTTGGCTAAGAGTGAGATTGCTGGATCATATGGTAGTTCTATTTTCAATCTGTTGAGGAATCCTTTTAGTGTTTTCCTTAATGACTGCACTACTTTCCAGTGAAAGTGTGTATTTCTTTTTCTCCACATCCTCATCAATACTTCTCTCTCTCTCTTTCATTCTCTCTCTCTCTTTCTTTCTTCCTTTCTTGATAACTGCCATGCTTACTCAGGTGAGGTGACATCTCATTATATTTTCTCTTTTGAGAAATGCCCTAAAATAATTAGGTCTTTAGCCAAATTTTTAATTAGATCATTTGTTTTGTTGCTGCATAATTATGTCCCTTAAATATCTTATATAATAATGCCATATCAGATATATGGTTTACAAATATTTTATCCCTTCATATAGATTGTCTTTTCACTTTGTTGATTGTTTTCTTTGCTGTACAGAAGCTTTTAGTTTGATATAATATCATTTATCTACTTTCACTTTTGTTTCTTGGTCTTACCCAGAGATCCTTGCCTAATTTCATGCATGAAAGTGTTTCCCCTGTATTTTATTCAAGCATTGTTATAATTTCAGGCCTTACATTTAGGCCTTTGATACATTTTGACTTGATTTTTGAACAAGGAAACAGACAAGGGCATGTGGATATTCAGTTTTCCCAGCATCATTTTTTAAAAGACTGTCTCTTATTGTTTGGCTGTAGATGCAGAGATTTATTTCTAGGCTCTCTATTCTGTTCCATTGATCTATGTGTCTGTTTTTGTGCTAATACCATAGCATTTGACAGACTTGAAATTCCCTTCATGATAAAAACTCTCAATAAATTCAGTAGAAACTATGCCCAATGTGTATATCTCTATGTGTTAAAGACCACGTTGGAAAAACATAGGCAACATCATACCGATTAGGAAAAGTCGAAAGGTTTTCCTTTAGGATCTGGAATAAGAGAAAGATGTCACCCACTTTCATCACTTTTATTCAACATAGTACTGAAAGTCCTGGCTATATAAATTAGGCAAAATAAATAAAGGAAAGACATCTAAATTGGAAATGACTTCAGCAAAAAACCCATTAGAATTTATGAATGAATTTAGTGGTTTCAAGATACAAAGTAAAGTCAAAGTACAAAAACCAGTAGTGTTTCTATACTCTAACAGTGAACTATCTGACAGTGAGATCAAGAAAATAATCTTATAATAGCTACAAAAAAGATACGTAGAAGTAAATTTAACAAAGGAAGTGAAATATCTCTACCATAAACGAGTAATGAAAGAAACTGAAGAAAACACAGACAAATGGAAATATCTCCCGAGGTCACGGACTGGAAGAAGTGATATTATTAAAATGTCCATACTACACGAAGCGATCCACACTTTCAATGCTTTTGCTATCAGGGTTCCAATGCATTGTTCGCAGTGGAAAAATCAATCATAAAGTTTGTGTGAAACCAAAACATAGTTCCAATGGTCAAAGTAATCTTGAGTGGAAAGAATAATTCTAGAGACATTGAACTCTCAAATACCAAAATGTTCTACGAAGCACAGGGCATCGGTGTTTGCTACCTGCTGTCACCCAAAGGAGAAATTAAAGTGTGATCAGGAAGCCCTAAGTTGGGCTCCCTCTGCCTAAAGGAACAGAGAACGGATGATTCTCAGAGGAGTACATTTCTGCAGGACTCTCCAGGCTCTTTGAAAAGGCACTTCTGAGTTGTAAAACTAAAGCTTTAACAAATTTTACACACATCTCAAGGGGCAGACAAAGCTTTTACAAGTTTTCTAAAGTGGTGGCTCTGAGAAAAAGGCCTGACTAGAGTTCAGTCCTAGTGAGCAAGCACCACCACTGAGTAAGGCAGGGTCAGATCTTTTGCAAATGGGAAGAGAACCAAGAGACAGAGGGGGAAGTAAAAACAATCAAGTTGTGTTATGCACATGTACCAACTCCCCATGCAATGAATGTAATCATTAGGTGCTACAGACATGGACTCAGAAAATTAAAACTTTGTTTTCTAAAAGGACGTGGCCCTGCAGCACTAGCCTGTGACACTGCTTGGTGGCTCAGGGACCAGAGGTGGCACAGGCCAGAATACACACAATCTTGAGAACCTTGAAGTAGAGCTCAGACTGTTTTCTTTAGCCTTAAGTAATCATTGAGAGATTTTAAGCATGAGAACAAAATGATCCAACATAAATTAAAGGAGTAGGGACATTTGCATATTTTTATAAAAGAAGAATTGAAGAAGCTAAGGCAGGTCAAAAGAAGCGTAAAAGAATGCAAAGAGAATTTTCTTGCTTGGTACTTAAAAATCTACCATATGGGTGTTTATTATTCCCACTTTCACATGATAAATCAAAGACTCAGAGTGTTTAAATATCCTTCCCAAATGTTACATGCTTAGTATATGTGGGCAGTTTTCAAGCTCAGTCTGTCTCTGAAGAGCCCAAGAGCTTCTCACTTGGCAATGGGGTTTGGAACCAGAGGCCACCGAAAGAAAATGCTGTGGGTCTGCTTTGTGGGGGACAGAGTGGACCTGGCTGATGGGCGTGGTTATTCCCGTCATGCCACGATGGTGCAGGGGGCTCAGGAGACAGTGTCACTGGCAGCTGGATTGAGATGTACGTCAGCTCCTTCTAAAAACATACTCCTGGGATCATGGCCAACGTAAGCTTCTTTTGGTTTCCTAGATTGAATGAGATAATGCACATAAAACAGCTTTACAAACTGTGAAATTCTAAGAGATGAAGGCTATTACTTTCACGTTAAAAGAATATAAATTGTTTATAAGTCACTTTCCATTTTAAGTGCAGTGGGGTGGATTATATTCAGTGGAGCGCATCATGAATTATGTATGAAGTGAGGGATTTCTTCCTGTTGTATAACTATGGATTTTCATACTTTTTGAGCTGTCTGTGAATATCTCCAAAACTGTCTTTGAAATCCAAAATATTGCCTTGAGAAAATATCTGCTTAAAATATGCGTCATTTGGAATATTTTGTGTTGCAAGTTATGGAAGACTCGAGTTGTTTTAAACAACCAAGTTAATGTGCTGGCTTTTGTAACCAAAGACCTGGCAGCAGAGAATGTGTCGGTCCACATGCACCAGGGCCAAGCTGCCTCCCCTCCCTCTGCCGCCTCACCTGCTGATTCCATCCCAGTGCTCCATGCAGCTCTGCTCCCAGCCCTCTCCTACTCCGGCTCTCCGAATGGGAAGACACCTCTCCCAGGACATTCTTCATGGAAAAGAAGACTTCTCTGCCCAGAAGCTCTTAGTCCACACCCCACACCTTGTTTTCTTTTGGTTTCTTGATGTTCCTTGCAGCAACAGTGTGGCCAGGACGTGGTCTCCACCAGCTGGCACAGGGCAGTGTACCTATCCCACTCCCACCCTGCAGCTATTTCTGCATTGCCGCCCCTTGGCCCACATGGCTCAGTGGGCCCCTGAGGGGACCATCCGGGAAGCAGGCATCTCATTCCCTGCAGGCCCCACTCTGAGTCACTGGTAGCTGCTTTGCTGGGTTCTGTTGGAAACACACCCGTATCCACTCAGCCAGTTTCGCCACATACACCACTTTCCAGGCCCCTTTCTTTTGAGTTACTTTGAAATACATTGGGTTTTTTTCTCCAATAGGTTTACTAAAGACTCATATTTTCCTGAAATTATTATGTGGTTTAGTCAATAGCCTATCATTTTGTTTAGTTTAGTCTGGAATTGGACTTGAATCCATTCCAGTATAATATGAAATGAAGATTCAAGAAAGCTCTTTTTTTTTTTTTTTGGTACCGGGGATCGAACTCGGGTCCTTGCACTTGTGCAGCAGGCGGCAAAACCACCTAGCTAAATCCCCGGCCCGAAAGCTCTTTTCTTTAAAACAACTTATTCTGATGTTCTGAGTTCTCATTGCCCATTATCCTTTATTTAAAAAAATTTCCCCTTGTGTTGAGTTATATCTTAGAGCATTGTTTTGCTCTCTTTATTCCCTTTGTTTAACCACAAACAAAATTGTGTTTAACTACTAGTCAACTTTTTAAAATTTTTGAACTTGCTTTCTTTTAAATATAAATATAAGATATTTGCCTGGCAACCTTTAAGTTAAGTACTCACAAGATAATGTCTCCTTGCTGTGCCTGAAAAGCTCCATCTCATATTTGTTCTATTTCCTTGTAGAAATTTTCAGCATGTTAATATACACATACATAAAAACATGAAGAAATTTTCTTCCACACATTTATAAACTATTTACAATTGTAAAAATCTTTACATTTAATAGTATCTGAAGACTAATTCTATGTCAGCAAGTGAAATCTACTTTATTCTTCAGCATGGCTACAAAGTATGTGATGTTTATGGATGTGCCATAGATGATTTAACTGGTAGTCCTCAAAAGGAAAGTTTTAGGAGTTGATTGCTTACATGTAATGCTGAAGGGAGTATCTATCTATGCTTTTGATGTATTTTTATCCAAGTGCAAGTAAATTGGCCCCATATGTTACTGCAAGTGGGCAGCTGGTCACAGGGAGGAGAAAGAGAGAGAGAGAAAGAGGGAGAGAGAGAGAGATTGGAGAGGGTGGAAACACCAGCACGATTTTGTTAGTTTGAAAGCAGATGCACAGTAGTAATTGATGTTGTGTGGGCAAGCAGCATTAATCCTAAGCTAGAATTGGGAAAAGCCAAGATGCGAGAAGCAATCACATGCTTCACCCAGCTAATCCACCCGAGGCTTGGGGTTGAAGGAGCAAGAAAACCTCAGAGTGGAGCCGCAAAGGCTGTGGCTGCCTTTTGCAGATGCCAAAGCAACATTTCCTTCTCCTTCTTGCAGTGAAACACTCTCAGAAAAGAGCAAGCAGAGGTTCATTGAGCTGGGGAAGTCCAGACAGAATGGAGAACTGGTGGTGCATCAGAATGAGGTGCTGTGGGGATGCTCAGCATCCCCTTTGTTTTTGAATCTTTTCAACGAAGCTGTTTCCTGGTGATATCACAGTGAATTGTTGGGGAAGATGTGAGATTTGAAGCTTGGAAATTTGGAGATCCCTCTTTAGAAAGTGAGTACAAAGATTCAGTTTTCAGAATCAGATGTGCATGTGGGTGCAGGGCCTTGGGGGCCCAGGGGAGACAGCCTCACCTCACGGGCAGTGCCGGCCCCTGTGGTACGAGGACTGGAGCCTGACCTGGGCTCGCCCTCTCCTTGCCTGCCCAGGGCCACTTACTGCTCTTCACTGCCCTCACGGAGTTCGCCTAAATCCACTCTGGGTTTCAACTGAATAAGCCAGGCTTTCATCACTGAAGGTTGTCATTTGCCTTCTTCTATTCCAATATCATTGAGGGAAAAGCAAATGGGATTCTGATCAGTAGCTTCTTTACACTAGGTAAGATGGAAACTGTGAGAGTCATCTATAATTTCGTACCAACTCAAGGCATGGACGGAAACTCACAGATAAAACATCTCCAGGGTAAAACACACTTAGGAGATTATATGTGAGGTGGAACTGTTCCAAAGGGAAACAAGAGAACCCCAATCCTATTAGGGTGGCAATCAATTCTTCTGAAAAATGTTAATTGCTTAGAATTACATTTAATAACTGGTGTACTTTTCCCACAATATACTTTGCTCTGCAAAAATCATTGAGACGGCAGTATGAATAATGCCTACCTGTTTTTGACGTCAAGAAGCTTGAAAACTCCTATTATTGATATCTTTGAGTGGCTTGATAAATTTCTGAGGGAAATAAAACTTATAAATCATTCACTTATTTAAAGGATTGATGCACCTCTCATTTTGTTTGTTTGCTTGTTTTTGCTCATTTTTGTGAGACAAGGTCTCAGTAGGTAGCCCAGGCTGGCCTCGAAGTTACACCTATCCTCCTGCCTCAGCCTCCTGAGTGCTGGGGTTACATGTGTGTGCCACCAAGTCCTGAGACATAGCTTTCATTTTAATGGAAGATTCCCAGTAGTACCTACTGTACACACATATTACACTACATCCTGGAAATTTGTGTGCCTTAAAATTCATATGTTGAAACCTAATCACAACATGGGCAATTATATGCATAATTTCATTCAACTTTTTCACAGCCCTGTTATTAAACCCATTTGCAGATGAAGGAGAGACTCAGAGAAATTGAATATTATTCTAAGAATTATGTAGCAGTGCAGTGCATACTTTCATCCTAACTTGTGAATCCAAGGTACATCATACATTCTCCTTAGTTTCTCCATCATAACCTCTCAAACAGTAGAACTTCATAAATTATGAGGAAACTGAGGGGAACTCCATTTAAATCAGTATAATAATCCAATAATAGGTCTTCTAAAAAGAGAATGGAGTTGTGTCACGTGAAAATTGGCCAACAACACATCATTATGTCATGGGAAGTATGAAATATGAAGTATTACATCTCCCAACCTGTTAACTGTATGATACGCCGAGTTCTTGTTCTCTAGAAATTGATGAATGAGTTCTAGGAACGACGGAGGTTAAGGGTAAGAAGATATTTATTGATAAGAAGGCTCCTGAGGGGCAGGAGGGGTCCTGAGTGGGCAGCCGGGGACCCCACTTTACAGAGGAGTTTTACAGGGCTAAACCCACATGGGTACAATGTGGGCCACAGCCGTGATCATCCAATAAGGTTACAAGTGCAGTCACTTAGGTAACGGTGGTCCAATTGGGAAGCGAGTCAGGCAACAAGCTCGGATGGAAAGAACAAGGAGCCTCCTAGGGGCGGTGGGTCCAGAGCTCTCTGGTCACCCCCAGGGTGGTCGATGCCTGTCTAGACTTCACTAAGCCCATTTCTTTGCAGACCTATGTGGGTCTGGTCATCTTGTCTCCATCTTGAGGCCTGGTTTTCAGCTGATGTGCAGCTGTGCTGTGTTTCACCTTGTCCTGGCCCTCCCGAGGACTCAGCCCTATCCGACTGCCTGTAGTATGTCTACCTAGCTCATCTATCTATAATAATAGGGTGCTTACTTTTATGATTTTTGGTTTATTATAACGTGAGAGTAAAATTAAAGGACCAATAATGCATCTCAAATATATGTCTTCTCTGCCACCCCCAATTTTAATTTTATTATGTACCATTATACATGCTATGAATTGATTATGTAGGTGTTAATCTCTTGGTTAGCTTAGTGTTTATTGCACGTACGCCTGTTCCACGTGCCCTCCACAGGGTGATCTGCCTCCCCTTGGCTAATTCATATATTTTTAGGCCGGTTCCCTTTATCAGATGGAGAGCTGACAGGCTATCCCAGAAGTCACACGAGGGAATTTGGGAGCTCAGACATGGAGCATGGGTTAAGCCCACACACAGAGAGGCCTTTGAGGGATAATTACAATAGCTTTCACTAAATTAGCAAGACAAGGCTAGCATGCTGGGTACTACCCTTTTCTCTTGATTGTGGCAATATTTCGAACCAATGCCCTGTAGTATACAAGATCTGATAAAGAACTATGGTGAAAGTTTAAATTGACAAAAATTATTGCAGTAAAAGACATATTGCCACTAATCTCCCTCAACTCCTCCTCGTTCCTAACACTCCTCTTTTGTCATTCTTGACACTGTTTGGAGCAGCCCTGGAGGCCCTCTGTCATGAGGGTCTTTAGTTGCTCTGTCCTGGTTGCCTCCATGTCATGAATCGACCCAAATGTTTACCACTCGTGGTCACCTTTGCTTTGGAGAAGAGGCAGAAGTCACACGGTGCCAGATTAAGTGAATAATGTAGCTGAGGACACACCATAATGTTTTTATTTCATAGAAATTTCCATAAATATTTTATCAACAAGGGTGATCAAAAATACAGTGAATGTTCAAATTAAAAATTTATTACAGTAAAAGTCACATTGCCATTAACCCCTCCAAACTCAAAATATGCTCCCTTGCTTGGAGCCTACTTGTCGCATTGCTCTTGGCAATGTGTCTTTTACTATAATAAGTTTTTAAAATTTAAACAGTAACCATATTTTTCAATCTTCCCTTGTGTGCAAATGTCAGAGTATTCACGGTGATAAAGTGTGCTGGATATCTGAGGATGTAGCTGACACCAACTGGGTAAGGAATGCAAACATGCTGTTGTGAAAGAATGCACTGTTACAAAGATTCCAGTCAAAGCATAGTAAGAGGCAAAGCCATTTCTGATAACTCTCACCCAAACCACCACATATTTTGCCTTGTAATGGAAAAAAAAATACTCCTTTGCAGATGGGATAGCAAATTGCACAGGATTTTGGTAAGATTAAATTCTTAATAATATGGTTTTCCTCTAAACAAACATATTTTCCTCAGCAGTCTTCCATGAGACCTAATTTAAAGTGTGCATCTAAGGAGGAGGCCTTCCAGGTATCAGCTTTCAGGGAGTGTGTGTCCTTGAGGAGCACAGTGAGTGAAATTCTGGAGCAGGAGATGCCCACCGTGAACAGTGTAAACCCCTTTCCCTGGTAAATGATCTACTTATCACTACAACCTTGGAAGAATTACACTCACATCACGGATTCTCTAACAATGAATTCTGAGTTCTAAAAACTATGTGTTATTCATTTACAACAAGGCACAGCATATGCTGTTGTGCAAAGTGCAAGGAATGCCATGTTGTCATACAGGTCACCTGGTCCAGTGACTCCATTCAAACCTATAATTTTCACAATGTCACCACTGCATCATGAGTTTCACTGTCTCAGACATTTCCTCTGCAGAGCCACTCTTCCCCTGACCTTTAGGTTGTTCCCCTTCATGAGCATCACTCTTCAGGGTCGACCCCTCCTGTGCACACAGTGAAGGATGGTGCATAGCTCATCCTTGTCCCTCCACAGGTTTTGCGGTTTTAGGAAAGGGATGCATTGTCTACCTCTGTGTATCTCAAAGCTCCAAACTTTGTCATCATCAGCGTCCAATGAGCACTCAACAAATAAACACCAAACAAGAGGAAGACTGAATTTTATAAGCTAACATCTTAAGTCCTGAAGGCACGTAGCATCAAAAATAGGAGGCAAAATAGACAAATGTGAGTAGTCATACTTCTCCTGCGATATTAATAGGCCTTTAATCTTGTCATTATCCAGGGCATTGTGCCCTTTCTAAGGTGAATCAAGCCTTGTTCTCTATCACAGGATTTGACAGAAACCTTAATTATTTATGTGATACTAGCCTATTATAACATAGCCCATTGCTCATGTCAAGTGTATTTAGTAATAGATATGAATGTCCATTTTCCACTGGAAGTAGACACCATGTTCTGGGGACACAAGCGAAAGATTAAGAAGGCATAATCGTTGGGATTTTTGATATATTCAGATATATAGCAGCCCCAAATTACCCT